GAACCGACCATCCGCACTCACAGCAAACGCAAACCCGTCCAGTGACTAGAAGGAAAAAAAATAAAAATGGAGATAGATAGACGGACTGGAGTTGGTTTCCTATAGTGACCCGTCTTTTTAATCATGGATCACTATCATTGAAAACTAATAATCATTAAAATAACCACACCTCCTGATTATACCCTGGGAAGTAAAAAAAAATCTTTGCAATTTTGTGCTTTTTTTGGGGGGGGGGGAAGCGTGAAAGCCAGAAATCATACACCCACACACATATACATATATTAAAGTTTCCTTTCTTGGGCTAACTTTGTTTGCTTAATTTTTCGTATAACCCACACCAGAAATAAGTAGTAGACATGATAAGCGGATGGTTCAGTGTGTTTGATTGTTCTTCCCTTTTCGCTGTTAATTATTTCTAAACATCTATTTCCTAAGTGGCTTAACGATTTATGTTGAAATTCGCAGAGATTCGCAAAAAAAATTGGCCAAATTAGTATCTTTATTGCAACAGTACTTCTTTAATTATAGGATTGATCAAGTAATACAAAACAATTCTAATCGCACACACCTAAATATATAAATAAGTCCACTTGTCTTAAGCCTAACATTAATTAAGCCTATATTGAATACGGCCTATATTCGATAAAGAAATAAATTAACACTGTTTTTTGCTTTAGTTTAGTTAGGGCTAAACTTTACCGTACTTAATACTATCAGTAAATAAACTTATAGCGTTAGAACTTTTTAAAAAACTTTGATAAACTGCTAGTATGTTGTTCTACAAAATGCTTACTAAAAGATATTTACGTACGTCTTTTGTTTACATCCGTTGAAATGTAGTGCGCGCGCATGCGCAGTTAGATGGTAATGTGCGCGCGCATTTTCAGGACAGACAAAAACTGAGTATTATTACAATAGATAGACATTGGAAAATGCTGGAAGTCAAACACGCAAACTTATCTAAAACATAAATACACCAGCAGATTATACCAGAAATACACAAAATTATGATGCGTATATTATCTATAACTATATAAAATAAGCTGTAAGTTTCTTGTGTAGTAAAGTATTACATTCATACATTAAGCATTATCATTGTGGTTGGGAAACAGCTTCCAAATACAGAGACTATAAACATCAGTCACTAATTTTATATCGACATTAGTACCAGCATTGGTCTTACCATTCGCCACTTCTATAGATAGTCATACTATAATTGTTACTATCACCTCTTCTGTAGTGGTACCAAGACTATTGCTATCGTTTACCCCTTCTATAGACAGTGGTACTAGATAGGACAGTTACTTTCACCCCTTCTATAGACAGTGGTACTAGATAGACTGTTACCTTCACTCCTTCTATAAACAGTAGTATTAAATGGGACTGTTACTTTCGCCCGTTCTATAGACAGTGGTACTAGATAGGACAGTTACTTTCACTCCTTCTATAGACAGTGGCACTAGCTAGGACTGTTACTTTCGTCCCTTTTAAAAACAGTAATATTAGAAGTGTTTATATTATTAGTTTTATAGACAACAAAACTAGGAATGTTGCTGTCGATGACATTTTCCATAGACAGTGATACTGGAACTGTTGCTATTGATCACTCCTCCTCTCGATAGGGAACAAGGACTGTTTGATATTACACATTCAATAGAAAGTGGTATGGTCACTATTTCTATAGATCAGGTAGTGATACTATTTCTATAGATCAGGTAGTGATACTATTTCTATAGATCAGGTAGTGATA